CATCTCTTGCCTTGAAAACCCTACAGGTCCCTTTGAAACGCCAATTGGGGGGATGGGGGGAAAATGCTCTGGGAGCTGGAAGCATCACCCGCAATGTGCTCACATTGTCACGCGCCATGCCTACGTCACCAGGGAGTGACGTTGTGCCATTCCTGCGTCACCCAGAAGTGATGTAGGTATGTCAGGGGGCAACACTCTGGTTTTTGCGCAAAGCTCTATGGTAAAATCGCCTTCGAACCATAGAGTTTTGCCCAAAAACCAGAGTGTCCCTCCTGACGTCATGATGTGCTTATATCACTTCCGGGTGACATAGGCACATTGTTCTATGCTGCTGTTGGGGGGGGGGGGGAGACATCTTTCCACCAGCCAGCTGGCTGCTGACAGGCAGAACCCCACAAAACCAGGGGATTCCCCCACCCCCAACTGGGGACCAGCTACCCTAGGGATACCATATGTTGGCTGCAACTTCTAGGTACTGTCTGCCGCCATGTGGAAGCCGGCTCCTTTGCTTGTGGACACCCATTGAGGCAGGGAGATCTGTTCATCCTTAGACGAGTGACAAAGCGGCCATCTTGGTTGATTGTACTTTAATTGATTTGTAGGATTTATATCCCACCTTTCTGCTTTGCTGAGTGTTCAAGGTCATCACTGCAATAAGACAGATTTGCAAGAGAGAATCCAGAGCCAGTTTGGTGTAGCGGTTAGGAGCGCGGACTCTAATCTGGGAGAACCGGGTTTGATTCCCCACTCCTCCACATGCAGCTGCTGGTGAGACCTTGGGTCAGTTACAAGTTCTCTCAGAGCTGTTCTCTCAGGAGCAGTCTTCAAAAGAGCTCTCTTAGCCCCACCTGCCTTACAGGGTGTCTGTTGTGGGGAGGGGAAGCAGATTGTGAACTGCACTGAGACTCCTTTGAGTAGTGAAGGGTGGGGTATAAATCCAGTCTCTTCTTCTCAATAAAAAGAAGCACCAGTAAAATGATAGATCTTTGATATGCTCACATGAGAGTCACATGGGGTTGCCACCATCCAGGTGGGGCCTGGAGATCTTGTGGAATTACAGCACATTTTGCCCTGTATCAAAAGAGGGCCTGCTCCCCAGTAGTGTGCATGTGTTCTTGGCCACACTCCCACTCTTTGGTTTCTCTTCTCTTTGTGAAATGCTGGCCATTTTGCTGCTGCTTCCTGGACCTCTGCAAGATTGTAAATATTGTTGTTGTTATTCAGTCGCACAGTCGAGTCCGACTCTTCACGACCCCATGGACCAGATCATGCCAGGCCTTCCTGTCTTCCGCCGTCCTCTGACGTTTGCTCAATTTCATGTTCGTTGCATCTATGACACTGTCTAACCATCTCATCCTTTGCCGTCCCCGTCTTCTTTGACCTTCAATCTTTCCCAGCATCAGGGTCTTCTCCAGTGAGTGCTCCCTTCTCATTTGGTGGCCAAAGTATTTGAGCTTCAGTTTCATTATCTGGCCTTCCAGGGAACAGTCAGGGTTGATTTCTTTGAGGATTGACTGATTTGTTCTTCTTGCAGTCCAAGGGACTCTCAAGAGTCTCCTCCAGCACCATAGTTCAAAAGAATCTATTCTTCGGCGCTCGGCCTTCCTTATAGTCCAACTCTCACAGCCATACATGACTACTGGGAATACCATTGCTTTGACCATGCGGACTTTTGTTGGCAGGGTGATGTCTCTACTTTTTATCATGCTGTTTAGGTTCGCCATCGCTTTCCTCCCAAGGAGCAGGCGTCTTTTAATTTCATGGCTGCAGTCACAGTCTGCGGTGATCTGGGATCCCAGGAACGTGAAGTCTGTCACTACTTCCACGACTTCCCCTTCTATTTGCCAAGGAGTGATGGGGCCGGATGCCATGATCTTAGTTTTTTTGATGTTGAGCTTCAAGCCCACTTTTGCGCTCTCCTCTTTTACTCTGAGCAAGAGGCTCTTTAGATCCTTTTCACTTTCAGCCATTAGAGTGGTATCATCTGCATATCTGAGGTTGTTGATCTTTTCCCCAGCAATCTTAATTCCCGCTTGTGATTCATCCAGGCCAGCATTTCGCATGATGTACTCTGCATATATATTAAATAAGCAAGGTGACCATATACATCCTTGTCGTACTCCTTTTCCTATGCTAAACCAATCAGTTGTTCCATATCCGGTTCTAACTGTCGCTTCTTGGCCCTTATACAGGTTTCTCAAGAGACATGTGAGCTGGTCTGGTACTTCCATCTCTTTAAGGACCTGCCATAGTTTGTTGTGATCCACACAGTCAAAGGCTTTAGCATAGTCAATGAAGCAGAAGTAGATGTTTTTCTGGTACTCTCTTGCTTTCTCCATAATCCAGCGAATGTTGGCAATTTGATCTCTAGTTCCTCTACCTCTTCGAAACCCAGCTTGTACTTCTGGCAGTTCTCTATCCACGTACTGTTGAAGCCTAGCTTGTAGGATCTTGAGCATGACCTTGCTAGCGTGTGATATGAGTGCAATTGTGCAATAGTTTGAACATTCCTTGGCATTGCCCTTCTTTGGGATTGGAATGTATACTGATCTTTTCCAATCCTGTGGCCACTGTTGCGTTTTCCAAATTTGCTGGCAAATGGAGTGCAGCACTTTAACAGCATCATCTTCTAAGACTTTGAATAGCTCAGCTGGAATACCATCACCTCCACTAGCTTTGTTGTTAGCAATGCTTTCTAAGGCCCGGCAGAAGGGTAGATATTACCCTTCCCCAAAAAAGCTCTCCCTCTTTCCTCCCTGATTTCCTGATCTAGCTCTTGTATGCATTTTTAGAATGTGTTTGTGCATTTCTGTCCATTTCTATTTTCTTTTAACAAAAACCTTTCTGGCTGAACCTCTGCCTGGTTTATTTGAAAGTTCTAATAAAGGGGAAAATCCTGGTATGCATAGGTGGATAATCCCAGTTACCCCCCCCCCCTCGCTCTGTCTACTTAAAGCCAATTCCCACAACTAATTAGGGGACACAGCTAATGATAAAGAAATGCTATTTGGGTCACAGCTGTAGTTGCAGTTTGGTGTAGTGGTTAAGAGAGCTGGGTTGGTGTAGTGGTTAAGAGCGCTGGGTTGGAACACTTTCCCTATGAGGAAAGGTTAAGGCGCTTAGGGCTCTTTAGCTTGGAGAAACGACGACTGAGGGGTGACATGATTGAGGTTTATAAGATTATGCATGGGAAAGAGCAGGTAGAGAAAGAGGTACTTTTCTCCCTTTCTCACAATACAAGAACCCGTGGGCACTCCATGAAATTGCTGAGCGGTCGGGTTAGAACAGATAAAAGGAAGTACTTCTTCACCCAAAGAGGGATTAACACTTGGAATTCACTGCCACAGGAAATAGTGGCAGCTACAAGCATGGACGGCTTCAAAAGGGAATTAGATAAGCATATGGAGCAGAGGTCCATCAGTGGCTATTAGCCACAAGGTATAGATAGGGACTCTGGGGCAAGTGATGCTCTGTCATCTTGGTGCTTGGGGGGGGGGGGTCGGCAAGTGATGCTCTGTCTTCTTGGTGCTTGGGGGGGGGTCAACAGTGGGATGGCTTCTAATGTCCTGGCCCCACTGGTGGACCTCCTGAGGGCACCTGGTATTTATGGCCCCTGTGTGACACAGAGTGTTGGACTGGATGGGCCTTTGGCCTGATCCAACATTGGCATCTCTTATGTTCTTATGTTCTTATGACTCATCTGGAGAGGCAGGTTTGATTCTCCACTCCTCCACCTGAAGTCATCTGGGTGACCTTAGGTCAGTCAGAGTTTTCTCAGAGCTGTTCTCTCAAGAGCAGTTCTCGATAGAGCTCTCTCAGCCCCAACTACCTCACAGGATGTCCATTGTGGGGAGAGTTTGTAAGCCACTCTGAGACTCCGAGTGAAGGGCAGGGTATAAATCCAGCTCCTCCTCCTCCTCCTTCTTCCTCCAGACCGTCGAAGCGATGAAGACGATCCTGGGGGACCTCCGTTCCGATGACCAGTTTTCAGTCCTCGACTTCAACCACCACGTGCGAACCTGGAAAGATAGTTTAGTGCGAGCTTCCAAATCAGACACCGAAGCTGCCAAGAAGTACATCGAGGGAATCCATCCTAACGGAGGTACGTAAGTATATTAGTAAAGTGATCCTAGGTATTAGATGCTGGCAGAGAGGATGGATAGCCGTGGCTGCAAACCTACCTGTGCTCACACAAAAATGAGCTGTATCCATTCTGTGCTAATGTAAGTGTACCCCAGGAGCTGTGGTGGCTCAAGTGGTTAAGACGCTGAACTGCAGGCTGTGGAAGGTCGGTAGTTCAGCAGTTCGAGACCCGGGTGCCGCAAGACGGAGTGAGCTCCCGTCTCTGGTCCCGGCTCCTGCCAACCTAGCAGTTCGAAAGCAAGAAATTGCAAGTAGATAAATAGGTACCACTTCGGTGGGAAGGTAACAGCGTTCCGTGCGCCTTTGTGTTTAGTCATGCCGGCCACATGACCATGGAAACGTCTTCGGACAGCGCTGGCTCTTCGGCTTTGAAACGGAGATGAGCACCGCAACCCTAGAGTCGGATTCGACTGGCTTTCAAGCAAGGGAAACCTTTACCTTTTTTTAAGTGTATCCCAGTTGTTGGCTTGCACATTTTCAGAGTGTGTCAGAATATTTAACATTGCCTTGAAAACCCTACAGGGTCACCTAGGGTCACCAGGTCCCTTTGAGACGCCAACCGGGGGGATGGGGGGAAAATGCTCTGGGAGCTGGAAGCATCACCCCCAATGTGCTGACATCACTAGAAGTGATGTCATGCGCCATGCCTACGTCACCCGGAAGTGACATTGTGCCGTTCCTGCGTCACCCGGAAGTTATGTAGGTATGTCAGGGGGCAACACTCTGGGTTTTGGGCAAAGCTCTATGGTAAAATCACCTTCAAACCATGGAGTTTTGCCCCCAAACCAGAGTGTCCCTCCTGATGTCATGACTTGCCTACATCACTTCCGGGTGACATAGGCGCGTTGCTCTATGTTGATGTTGGGGTGTGTGTGAGATATCCTCCCACCAGTAAGCTGTCTGCCGACAGGCAGAACCCCACAGAACCAGGGATTCCCCCACCCCTAACTGGGGACCGGCGACCCTAGGGTCACCGTATGTTGGCTGCAACTTCAAGGTACTTTCTGCCACCCTGTGAAGCCGGCTCCTTTGCTTGTGGACACCCATTGAAGCAGGGAGATCTGTTCGTCCTTAGACGAGTGGCAAAGCTGCCATCTTGGTTGATTGTACTTTGGTTTGTTGGATTTATATCCCACCTTTCTGCTTTGCCGAGTGTTCAAGGTAATCACTGCAATAAGACAGATTTGCAAGGGAGAATCCAGAGCCAGTTTGGTGTAGTGGTTAGGAGCGCGAACTCTAATCTGGGAAAACCGGGTTTGATTCCCCACTCCTCCACATGCAGCTGCTGGTGAAACTTTGGGTCAGTTACAAGTTATCTCAGAGCTGTTATCTCAGGAGAAGTCCTAAAAAGAGCTCTCTCAGCCTCACCTGCCTTACAGGGTGTCTGTTGTGGGGAGGGGAAGGAGATTGTAAACCGCACTGAGACTCCTTCGAGTAGTGAAGGGCAGGGTATAAATCCAATCTTTTCTTCTCAATAAAAAGAAGCACCAGTAAAATGATAGATCTTTGATATGCACACACTCACATGGGGTTGCCACCATCCAGGTGGGGCCTGGAGGTCTCGTGGAATTACAGCACATTTTGCCCTGTATCAAAAGAGGGCCTGCTCCCCAGTAGTGTGCATGTGTTCTTGGCCACAGCCCCACTCTTTGGTTTCTCTTCTCTTTGTGAAATGCTGGCCATTTTGCTGCTGCTTCCTGGATCTCTGCAAGATTGTAAATATTACCCTTCCCAAAAAAAGCTTTCCCTATTTCCTCCCTGATTTCCTCTGATTTAGCTCTTGTATACATTTTTAGTGTGTGTGTGTGTGTGCCTGGTTTATTTGAGAGTTCTATTAAAGAAAAAAATCCTGGTATACATAGGTGGATAATCCCAGTTACCCCCCCCCCTCGCTCTGTCTCCTTAAAGCCAATTCTCTCAACTAATTAGGGGACTGCCTATTTGGGTAGCAGCTGTAGTTGCAGTTTGGTGTAGTGGATAAGAGTGGTGGACTCATCTGGAGAACCAGGTTTGATTCTCCAGTCCTCCACATGAAGTCATCTGGGTGACCTTAGGTCAGTCACAGTTCTCTCAGAGCTTTTCTCTCAAGAGCAGTTCTCGAAAGAGCTCTCTCAGCCCCAACTACCTCACAGGGTGTCCATTGTGGGGAGAGTTTGTAAGCCACTCTGAGACTCCGAGTGAAGGGCAGGGTATAAATCCAGCTCCTCCTCCTCCTCCCTCCTCCAGACTGTCGAAGCGATGAAGACGATCCTGGGGGACCTCCGTTCTGACGACCAGTTTTCAGTCCTCGACTTCAACCACCACGTGCGAACCTGGAAAGATAGTTTAGTGCGAGCTTCCAAATCAGACACCGAAGCTGCCAAGAAGTACATTGAGGGAATCCATCCTAACGGAGGTACGTTAAGTGTGTTACTAAAGTGATCCTAGGCATTAGATGCTGGCAGAGAGGATGGACAGCTGTGGTTATAGACCTATCTGTGCTCACAAAAAAATGACCTGTATCTATTTTGTGCTAATGTAAGTGTACCCCAGTTGTTGGCTTGCGCATTTTCAGAGTGTGTCAGAATATTTAACCCTTCCCATCTGGGAGGGGTGCACTTTGAGCTATCTTGAAATTGGAGTAGAGTCCCCATCTGTCGTCTTGCACATTTCTCTGATCAAATCAAAGCGCGCATCCCACAAATGTTTATGGCCCGGCTCAGGATATTCAAATAGGTATCTATCTTGCCCTTTTCTAGCAGGTAGACAAATGCTCATCTCCATCCTGTCTATTTGTCTCTATAAAGGAAAATCCTTTTCCTCTCTGCCTGAAATCTGCCTGAAGTTTATTGCTCCATTCCCAGGAAAGAATGTTTTCTTTGCGATCAAGCCCTCCTGGAGTGTTAATCAAATGCATCTTGCATTTCTTTATCATTAGAACATCAGAAGAGACCTGCTGGATCAGACCAATGGTTCATCTAGTCCAGCATCCTGTCTCACACAGTGGCCAACCAGTTCCTCTGGAGGGCCAACAAAACGGCATAGAGGCCGAGGCCTTCCCCTACTGTTGCCTCCTGGCTCTGGGATTCAGAGGCTTAGTGCCTCTGAATGTGGAGGTTACCGTCAGTTTGGTGTAGTGGTTAAGTAGAGCCAGTTTGGTGTAGTGGTTAAGTGCGCAGACTCTAATCTGGGAGAACCGGCATTGATTCCCCACTCCTCCACTTGCACCTGGCTGGATGACCTTGGGCAAGCCGTAGTTCTGACAAGAGCTGTTCTTGAAAAAGAGCAGTTTCTGTCAAGAGCTCTCTCAGTCCCACCTACCTCACAGGGTGTCTGTGGTGGGGAGGGGAAGGGAAAGGAGTTTGTAAGCCGCTCTGAGACTTCCTGGGGTAGTGAAGGGCAGGGTATAAATCCAATCTCTTCTCTTCTTCTTCAGTCACCATGGCTAGTAGTCATTGATAGACTGATCCTCCATGGATCTCTCTAATCCCCTTTGAAAGCTATTTATTCCTGTGGCCATCACAACATCCTCTGGTAGGAAATTCCACATTTTAATCACTCTCTGTGTAAAGTAGTATTTCCTTTTGTCCATCCTGAACCTACTGCCCATCAGCTTCATTGGATGTCCTCCTTTTGGGAGAGGGAGAAAAATTGATCTTTGTCAATTCTCTCCATCCCATTTTATATACCTCTATCATGTGTCCCCCCCCCCATTAGTTGTCTCTTCTCCATACTGAAAAGTCCCGGGCTCTTCATCCTTTCCTCATAAGGAAGGTGCTCCAACCCCCTGATCATCACAATTGATTCCCTGGAATCCTAGGAATTGTAGTATGGTGTGAGCATTGAGGATTCTTTGTTAGAGACCACTAGCTTCACTCACAAACCTATCGTTTCTAAGATTCCCTGGGGCAAGTGATTATCTTTAACATCTGTAGTGTTGATACACCCATAAAGTATCTGGAAAAATATAATTTGCATAGACCCATACATAGGTAAGTGGACTCTTTCAGTACTTGGCAGCAGGGGTCATTTCCTGCAGGAGCGCACAGGAGCGGAGCTCCGGCAGTAAAGAGCCCAGGGGGCGGGCACATGAAACAAGCCCCACCCCCTGCTCCCAGCAGCCCTTTTATTATTTTTCATAAGACTATTAAACTACAATGAAAAATATAGGAGGGGGGACTACAACTAAGCATAAAGGAAAGATACCCACACTAACTAAAAACCCAAGAGAAGGAGATCATTTCCATGTTAAACTAAATGTAAGTAATACAAGTGTTAGTAATACAATATACTTATGGAGTTCTTGTTGTGCACAGCTTCTATATTAGTAAGTTAGTCTTTGTGAGAGTACTTCTTGAACATCTTTACTTCAAAGAGCGATTTACAGAGTCCTTCTGCCCTTACTTCGGTTTTCTATCTCTAAAGTCATATACAGTTTTCGTTGCTCCCGCTCCTGCACCCGCTTCGCCCACAGAGTCCTTGTCCGTTCCAGAAGTAGTAGAGTCACTTGATTTGGTTTCTTCATCTTTAAGTTCTTCCCCCGGCCCAAGCTGACGTCTCAAAAATTCTTTAGCTTTAAAGATGAAGTCAATCTTCTCTCTTTTATCGTTGACTTTAAAGATGACACATTCAGGAATCGCCCACCTGTACTGAATTCCATTGGATTGAAGAAATGAGATCAATTTCTTGTAGCCTTTCCTCTTTTTACGAATTTCAAATGGGATATCTTTTAAAGTCTTAATGATTGTATTCCCAAATTTCAGTGGCTTTGCTGAAGTTGCCTTTAATATAGCATCTCTGGTCTGTCTTGTTACAAATCTAACCACAATCTCTCCAGGCAGGCTCTTTTTTTTTAATATAATTGGAGTATGCCCGATAGGCAGCCTCCATGTCTTTTACTATCTCATCCGCTGATAAGCCTGTTACTGGAGCAATGATCTTTCCCAGAGTCTTCTTCAGATCTTCTTTTTCAGTTTCATGCACCCCCTGAAATCTGAGTGTCATATTAGTTTTTTCCATTTGGAGCTGTAACAAACGGGTTTCCTGAAGTTTTTGTGTTGTTTCCACATCTGTCACTCTTTTCTTCATTTTCTTATTTGTGGTGTCCATCTCTGTAATTTTCTCAGTTGCATGCTCCACTTTCTTTTCCGTTTCTGCCAGCTGGCGCTGCTGTAAAGCGAAGTTTTGGTTTAGTGTGGCCAGTTGCTGGTTAATACCACCAAGTTGCTCCATTACCGGCTTCAGCGTATCCGCTAGCAACTTCATGACATCAGCTCCCTCTTCCATTCTTGGACTCTGCCTGGTTTCGGTTTAAACTTCCCTCAGGAAGCTGCCATGTTCCTCTTTGTTTACACTTTCAAACTGCTTTGCCAGGGCTTGAAAAACTCGTCGTTTCACTATCGGTACTCAAGTAAGTCTCTCAGAAAAATCTCGCTGTTTATTTCCCCCTACCCCCTTTGCTGTGTTAATCTGTCTGTGCGCTTAAGAGGCGTCCCTCCTTGCGCTCTGCTTTTCTCACGGGGGGGGGGGGGTCCTCCTTTTTGACACAATAGTCAGTTTATTTCAAACTCACATTCATTGTTGGTCATATCTCTGACCTCGCTCTCTTCATCGTTGTTCCACTCGATCTCCTGTGCTTGTCCCGGTCAAATTAGCTTATACCCGAAGGTCACTCAGCGGCAGGACCATCAGGGCAGAGGGAAGCCTCTATTCTCCGGTGTCGAGCCATCGAAGAGGCTAACCCTCAAAAGCCCCCTGGCCTGGAACCCATCACAATGGCTCCGTGGGGGTACCACTTGAGGTAGCACCTCTCCTCACCGCTGGTGTGCTAATCGCCTCCCCAAGCATTGGGGAGAGCGACCGTCATCACCAATCCACAAACCGGAAGTCCTCCAGTGGCACCTTTAAGACCAAGTTTTATTCAGGTACAAGCTCTCCCTCCTCTGTGAGGACAGATCTGCACATCCCCCCCTCCGCCAATATCTAGCAATCCAAAACAGTCCAGTGGAGCCTGAGCGTTGGGTGTTGCCTTCTTACACACTTCCGGTGATGTCAGGGGGTGTGGCATATGCTAATGAGTTGTGCTAATGAGTTGTGCTAATGAGCTATGCTAATGAGCTCCTGCACCTCTTTTTCTACAAAATGACCCCTGCTCAACAGGGTTGGCCCTGATCAACGTTTGGATGGGAGACCACCAAGGAAGCCCAGGGTTGCTGTGCAGAGGCAGGTGATGGCAAACCACCTCTGAATGTCTCTTACCTTGAAAACCCTACAGGGTTACCATAAGTTGCCTGTGACTTGACAGAAAAGAAAAGAAACGTTTAGGGCAAAATCCATTAAAAGTTAAGCCCCTATTGAATTTAAGCTTGTGTGCAATTCTTCCATCAGTTTTGGTTGGGGAACTGACACACCCTCAAATTCCATGAACTTTGGCGGTGGTTAACTTTGGCTGGGTTGAGTTGCCTCGGGCATTACCTAAACTTGTTTTCAACCTCATTCTCCTTAAACAGGGACGAATATTAATGATGCTCTCCTCCGAGCCATCTTTATTTTAAACGAAGCCAACAGGATGGGGATGTTAGATCCGAACTCTGCGTCCATGATTGTCCTGGTGTCCGATGGAGATCCTACTGTGGGTAAGGACCTTAGATGAAGGCTTACGTGGTCTCCTTGCACCAAGAGGGAGAGAATGGCTATCTGGCCACTCTGTTCAGCTGGAAGTCGGAAGACTGGAAGACTCTGCTCAGCTGGAGGTTGGAGGACTTCCTCTCTCTGGAGGAAGTTCCTCAGGCTGGGGAAAAGCTTTGTACTTTGGTGGCCAGAGTAGTCAGACACAAGCTACAAGCTCTGCCAAGAAGATTCAATTGCTTCTGGTGTTGGACCGAAATGTGGAAACCTGAACTGTCTCCTTCCGTCCCCTCCCAATCTAGGAGAACTGAAGCTGCCTACCATTCAGAAGAACGTGAAGAAAAACATCCAGGACGACATCTCGTTGTTCTCCCTCGGCATCGGCTTTGACGTGGACTACGATTTCCTGAAGAGACTGTCCAGCGAAAACAACGGGATGGCGCAAAGGATTTTTGGAAACCAGGAAACCTCCTCTCAGATGAAGGTGAGCTTCCATCCCGTGTCTCTGCTACTCGGAGTGGCCGGGTTTGGCGGGACGAAGAAGCGATGGAGCCACCGTGAATGGATGCTTGGGGAATAGTGGCTGATTGTGCGTATCCCAGTATTTAGGGTTGTCAATCCCCAGTTGGGGGCAGGGGATCACCTGGTTCGGAATCCCTCCCCCCCGCGTCAAGGCTCTCAGAGAGCGGGGGGGGGAATAGCCACTGGGGGTCCCATTAAAGCAGTTCCCATAGAGAATAATGGAGAACCGATCTGGGGGGATTTGGGGATCTGGGGGGGCTGTTTTTGAGGCAGAGGCACCAAATTTTCAGCATCGCTGTTGGGTCTTCTCCTGAAACAAACCCCCAAGTTTCAAAAAGATTGGACCCGGGGGCGCAATTCTGTGAGCCCCAAAAGAATGTGCCCCCATTCTCCATTATTTCCAATGGAGGGAAAGCATTTAAAAGGAATGCTTTTGAAAGGAATGCCTAATGTGATGGCCATAACTCTCTTTTGGCTTGTCGGCCTCACCTGGCAATCCTAGTGATATAGCTTAAAATAGATGGTAACAGCCAAGGAGTGCTTCAAAAAAAGATCCCAATAAAATAAAACTGTATCCTAACTGCGCTCAATAAATTTTTAAATACTGAAGTGAACAGAATACAAAAAATTATTTGTGAAGTACAAAGTACATAAGATGAGTATAATATATATAAAGGTATTCAACAGTTATTAGTTGTTGTTGTTAGTTGTTAACGATGATCTCCGGAATGTTCAACCATTTTGAAAGATCTTCTTATGTAACATCTCTGGTCAGTCTTTCAACTGGCACATTTCAAGAAATTCATGATTTTCTTCGATATGTCAAAACATTACTGAGAGGAAGTTCCTGACGATTCTACACAAGGCAAAATGCTGTAAGAGGCCTTACAGTTTTCCTTTATTGGGATCTTTTTTTGAAGCAACCCTAGTGATGTCACAAAAGCGATGTCACATCCTTGCTCCTGGCTGTACCCCAAAGTCTGGAAAAAGGGAGGGGGGGAAGGGAAAAACTCAACCCAAGATAACACTGCGAACCAGAAGGGTTAAGCTGACCAGATATATTATAAAAGTACAAAATGTATTAGGGTGTACACATATTAAAATATATTCGGGTTAAAATTTTTTTTTTCAAGTATCAGACTAATAAAAGCATATCAAATATTAATACACATGATGGGTCAACACTTTCCAACTGAAGACCAAACGCGTTTCTGGTAACTGAGATTTCAAAAGTCTGAAGCATTCTTCACACACTCAGACTTTTGAAATCTCAGTTACCAGAATAATTGGAATGAATATGGCTATACCTATGGCCCATCATTAATACCAGCAACACAATTGCAAACATCTGGTCTTTTTATAAGTGTACTAAAGATCTTGTATACATATGTTTGAATGCATGTCTATACTATGTTGTATAGTGACCACTGAGGAAGGCACTTTGAGGCCGAAACGGGTTTGGTCTTCATTTGGAAAGTGTTGACCCATCATGTGTATTAATATTTGATATGCTTTTATTAGTCTGATACTTGAAAAAAAATTTAACCCGAATATATTTTAATATGTGTACACCCTAATAAATTTTGTACTGTACCCCAAAGTCCCCAGATATTTCCTGAGTCGGACCTGGCAACCCGACTAGTATCCCAAGCCCTGAGACTCATGGGGCAGGGCCTGGTGATGCCGCATTGACTAGCGGTTCTCATGGTGGTGCTTCCAGAAGCCACTGGGAGATGTGCCACATGGTGCTTGTGGAGGTAGATAGTCACAACCATGCAGGGAGTGCCCAAACTTGTGTTGTGGGTGAGCCGATGCGGACTTTCCAGTGTGAGCTTTCGTCACTTCTGTGCCTCTTTGGACTCCGCAGCAATTCTACAACCAAATCTCCACCCCGCTTCTGAAAAAAATCGAGTTCAACTATCCCCAGGGCATGGTGTCGGACGTCACCCACAACAGCTTCCAAAACTATTTTGGAGGATCGGAGATTGTGGTGGCAGGAAAAGTCGACACAGAAAACGTGCAACACTTGCAGAGCATTATCACAGCCACTGCCGTGAGTACGGTTTCCTGCCTTGCCTCTCATTCCTTATACCGTGGGCCTCTGCACAGCAACTAGCGTCCAATGTTCCCTCTAAGCTGTGGAGTCTTGTGAACAAAAATCCTACTTGGTGAGCTGCTGGCATTAAAGTGGTGAGTGAGCGATTTGGCGACTGCATAAATTAGTTTGCTCTGGAGGCATCCTGCCTGAACTAAGACAAAAATGTCTGAGCTGGAGGCTAAAAAACTGTGAGCTAGCTCACACTAACTCAGCTTAGAGGGAACACTGCTTGGGTCCATTCTGTATTTTATTTATTTATTAGATTTCTTACCCCACCTTCCCGGCCATATCAGGCATTCACTCCACATTTTCTCAGCACTCGACCTGGTTCCCCCTTGCCTCGAAATATCTGTTTTCATTGCATTGCCTCGGATCCTGGTTTCTGTATTGGCTCATGTCAGCTTGCTATCTATTTTGTTTTCAACGCTCGTTCCTGCATTGGTATGCAGATTTTCCTGTGTCAGTACTTGCCTCAGCAGTCAACAGCAGCCTGAGCCAGGTAATTCATGGCGAGGTGATAAACACCAAGTTGTCTGCTTATTGTTCCCTTTGAATTGGAAGGGGAGGAAGGAAAAGGTGTCACTCAAAACCACATTCAGATACCCCTGACTGTGAAGTCAGCCCTGAATGGACATAAATCTATGCAGAAAGTACCATAAAACCCGATGAACAAAGAAAGAGAAAGCGGCGTGCAGAGTAAAGGGAGATTAACCTCCCGACATGGCTGTGGAAAAACTGCGAGGAAACAGATGGGTGCGGAATCAGCCTAGGATTGCTTCAGACCTGTTTAGAGAAATTGTGGATTGATACCAGGGGTCATTTCATAGAAAAAGAGGTGCAGGAGCTCATTAGCATAACTCATTAGCATGACTTATTTGCATATGCCACACCCCCTGACATCACCGGAAGTGTGTCAGAAAGCAATGGCCACTGCTCAGGCTCCACTAGACTGTTTTGGATTGCTAGCTATTGGGGGACGTACGTACATGCAGATCTGTCCTCACAGAGGAGGGAGAGCTTGTACCTGAATGAAACTTGGTCTTAAAGGTGCCACTGGGCTGTTTTGGACCGGGGGGGGGGGGAGTGGGATCTGCAACTTACCTGGCTGCTTCTTGCTCTGACTGAGGGCTGCTGGGAGCAGGGGGTGGGGCTTGTTCCATGTGCCCGCCCCCTGGGCTCTTTACTGCTCCACCCCTGTGCGCTCCTGCAGGAAATGACCCCTGACCAATACTGTGGAGACTGTAGGTTCTAGCTCCTGTCCTACAATCCTCCAGTGCCTACCCCTCCATCTGCCTTGAAATCAGTCCTTCAAAATATAAGGGCCAACTCTTGTTCATTTGATCAGAGGCATGGCCAACCCAATGTGACTTACATACCATTTGGAGTAATGAACTGCTCCCCCTCCCACAGTCTGCCCCACACAGTGAGACCTGAGTTGCCTGATCTCTCCAAAGATCTCTGTTTTTCATCACAACAAGGCAAGTCTTGGAATTCCATTTGAATCAGGAGTTTAATCCCAAATTAACCTGGGATCGTTTCCTCACTTGAAGCTTGCTTCAGTTTCTGATTAAACCTGGGGTTTAATTAAGCGGTGCTTACACTTTGAGAGTCCATAATGGGCAAGAACATAAAAACAGCCCTGCTGGATCAGAACAATAGTCCATCTAGTCCAGGATCCTGTCTCACTCAGTGGCCAACCAGTTCCTCTGGAGGGCCAACAACAGGGCACAGAGGCCGAGGCCTTCCCCTGACGTTGCCTCCTGGCTCTGGGATTAAGAGGTTTGCTGCCTCTGGATGTGGAGGTTCCTTTCAGCCACCATGGCTAGTAGCCATTGATAGACGTATCCTCCATGAATCGATCGAATCCCCTTTGAAATCTGTTTATTCCTCTGGCCATCACTACATCCTCTGGCAGCGAATTCTACATTTTAATCACTCGCTGTGTAAAGAAGTATTTCTTTCTGCCCATCCTGAATATACCACCCATCAGCTTCACTGGATGCCCTGAGTTCTAGTTCCATGGGAGAGGGAGAACAATTTCTCTTTGTTAACTCTCTCTACCCCAGGCATGATTTTATAAACTTTTATCCTGTCTTCCCTTAGTCATCTCTTTTCTAAACAGAAAAGTCCCAGACCCTTCAGCCTTTCCTCCTAGGGAAGGTACTCCAACCCCCTAACCAGGGGTCATTTCCTGTGGGAGCGCCCAGGAGCGGCGCTCTGGCAGTAAGGAGCCCAGGGGGCGGGCACATGCAACAAGTCCCACCCCCTGCTCCCAGCAGCCCTCAGTTGGGCCACGAGGAGCAAGAAGCAGCCAGGTAAGTTGCAGAGCCTCCCCCCCCCGGCCCGTCTTCAGGTACGAGCTCTCCCTCCTCTGTGAGGGCAGATCTGTGCGGTCTCCCCCCCCCCCCCCCCCAGCAAGTCAAAAAAATGCCGCCACAGTCCAGTAGCACCTTTAAGACCAAGTTTTATTCAGGTACCAGCTCTCCCTCCTCTGTGAGGGCAGATCTGTACATCCCCCCCCCCAAAAAAGCTAGCAATCCAAAACAGTCCAGTGGAGCCTGAGCGGTGGGTGTTGCCTTCTGACACACTTCCAGTGATGTCAGGGGTGTGTGGCATATGCAAATAAGTTATGCTAATGAGCTCCTGCACCTCTTTTACTACGAAATGACCCTTGCCCCTAACCATCTTGGTTTCCCTCCTCTGTACTTTTTCCAGCTCTGTAATGTCCTTTGTGAGATACGGTGACCAGAACTGTACACTGTTTTCCAACTGAGGCCGCACTATAGATCTGTACAGGGGCATTACAATACCAGCCATTTTATTCTCCGTCCCTTTCCTAATAATCCCTAACATCGAGTTCGCCTTTTTCAGTGCTGCAGCACACTGGGCTGACGCTTTCATTGAGCTATCTACTACAACCCCAATAGTGGGGGGAGACCCGGGTTCAAATTCTGACTTTGTCATGAAGTTCATCTGATGAATTTGGGCCTGTCCTGCTCTTGGTCAGCCTGTCCTATTTTACAAACACATTTCTCCAGGCCAACCCCCAAATCTCCAGGACCTTCCCAACCCAGAGATGGCAACCCTAGGGAAGGGCTTTTGCCCATCTGTCACACATCCCAATGGAGCTCTTCTCTTTGATAAGGCAATCCCTGCAGTTGCAGTTGCAAAAGAAAAGAACATCATGTTGTCAAGCCTTAAGATAACCAGCTAAGCAGATCCTTGGAAACTGGCATAAACAACTTGGTTAATTCATCAGGTGATGCCTTCGTGTCTTTCCGATTTCTCTTGGGCTTTTAGGCCAACGCAGAGTTAGTCTTGGAGACCTTGGCAGACTCGGAGGGTCTGGATGAATTCCTGAGCAAAGATAAGCACGCAGATCCCAAATTCACTGAGACGTTGTGGGCCTACATTACCATCAACCAGCTTATGGCCGAGAGGTAAGAAGGAAAATGTTCCTTGCATTTCCTAAAGGGTGATTCTCAAGTTCTAGTGCCCCGAAGACTCCCATTTTGATTTTTTTAATTGACTGACCGCCCCAAATCACTCCCCTCCTCTTCCACTGGCACACGGCAGACAACCCTGTGATACAAGCTGAATATGTCCCATGGAGGCTTCCATACCTTTGCTTCCTCAAAAACAATACAGTAAGATGCTTATCAGTGATGCTTTAAAAGCAGTTTTAAGAAAAATGCTTTTATTATCTGCACCTGGCTTATAAAGTCATGTCTTAGAGGGCTAGCTGATTTTGTAGAGCCACTACTCAGAAGTAGGTCTGCTAGGTCTCCGGCTATAGTGGGCAAAACCATAGAGTTGCTGGTGAATCCTAGAGCACTGCACTGATGCAGTGATGTCACTTCCAGGTTTGCCCAGAAGTGATGTCATGCCATCAGAGTGATGGTGTTGAGAGCTGGCCCAGGAACAGCGTAGGGCGTGCTATCAGAGCATGGAGCGAGGAAGGCAAGGGCACCAACTCAAGAAGCGTAGTCGAGGTCCAGTCCAAGGTTATGCACAGAGTCAAGAGCTGTCAGGAGTCTAGTCTGAGGGTCAGTCTGTACAGTGAGGTTTAAGAATCTGAGAGTTACTCACAAGCAGGGTCAGGAGTGAGATGAAGGCAGAGTTCAGGAAATAGTCCAAAGAGTTACAGGGTTGAGGCAGAGATCCGATGCGGTGGTCGCAGAGTCAGAGGGATTCCCACTTGCTGCTTCCACACCTAACAGCCTCCCTTGGCTGGTTTTTATGGCCAGATGCGTAAGGGTCATGCTTGCAGTCAGCTGCTTGGAAATAATCCTGCCACCTACTCAAGAAGCTGGCCTTGGGTCAGGAGGCGTGCACTTTGTCGTCTCTCCTGTAGTTCTATTCGTAGCCTCCGTCTGCAGTGCTCTAAGAGTGTAGGTGATACTGGAGGGCTGGAAATGATCAGCTGAGTTTCACCTGTTGAATCAGGGCTGGAGGGTGTGGGAAGCACCAGCTGTCGGCTGTGAATCCTGACAAGCCTGTGGCTCATCTTCCTGCTTGCCGTCTTCTGTTGACTCAGAGCTGGCTACACAGGGATCCTCTTCTCATGTCCTTTTCTCCTGAGGAGTCCTCGCTGTCACTGAGCCCTGGCTGACGCAAGACAGATGGTGTCTCCCCTCCACATCCCTAACCATCCAGTCTCCTGCTGGGTGGGAAACCTACTCTGACAGCCATGACTCAAATTCTGATCCTGTGTTTGTCGGGAAGGGCCTTTGCACTAAAGTCAACATAAAGTTTTTTTATTAGTTACTAATGTCTAGCTCGAGATCACCTGAATAGGCATGGGAGGGGGCCAGGGGGAAAACTTTCAGAGATGCTGATAGAAATTTTTTAAAAGACCAGCACTGTACTTTTGGTACTTAGCTGAAACCCACAACTGGCTATTATTGTCTTGGATACAGAAGAGTGACTCTGTATCTCCTTTGCGCTAGAAAAGCAGTGAAAGCCAGATCAATTTTATACCTGCAGCGACTATGATGACGAAAATGCTCCCCACTTCATCTAGGAATTACATATTCCACCAAATTTGGCCTGCCTCTTTAGTTCAACGTGTTGACCATTCCGAAACTGAGACGGGCATACGTGGTTGCAGGCTGCAATGCGTTTCCAACAGCCCAGATGAAGGGGCGTTTTCTCAAGACCAGCGCTATTGTGACGGCCCTTTGACAGAACTCGACTTGGCATGTCAGGGGGTCATTTTGTAGAAAAAGAGGTGCAGGAGCCCATTAGCATAACTCATTAGCATAACTTATTTGCATATACCACACCCCCTGACGTCACCGGAAGTGTGTCAGAAGGCAACACCCACTGCTCAGGCTCCACTGGACTGTTTTGGATTGCTAGCTATTGGGGGGGGACATGCAGATCTGTCCTCGCAGAGGAAGGAGGGAGAGCTTGTACCTGAATAAAACTTGGTCTTAAAGGTACCACTGGACTGTTTTGGACCAGGGGGCATTGGGAGCTCTGCAACTTACCTGGCTGCTTCTTGCTCTGACTGAGGGCTGCTGGGAGCAGGGGGCGGGGCTTGTTGCATGTGCCCACCTACTGGGCTCCTTACTGCCGGAGTTCCGCTCCTGTGCGCTCCCTCAGGAAATGACCCCTGCGGCATGTCATGTCTTCTTCTACTGTCCAAAACATGCAGTGGCAAGAGAAAGATTCCTAAGAGAATGGCTGTTGAAGTAGTCATCTTTTCCTGGTGCAGCAAGACTACTTCTGAGCAGCCTCTGCCAAAATTGCATCGTGGACGTGGGAAATTTTTGTCTTACTGTTTTTTTAAACGCTTATATTTTTTAATAGTGCATGGCCTATGGGCTATTAAACTTAAATGAACTCTGAACTATGATGACTGTATTAAGACCTCTTGGGTGCTACTCAGCCAATTAGAATCCCTAGGGCTCAGGCGTCGATCCCAGCAACCAATCGGTGTGTTTTCTACACGGTGCTCTGAGGCGATCTGGAAGCCAGCTGACTGGGGGTGGGGGTGGGGCAGTTCTACTAGCTCTCGCCTGTTGAAAGGTGGCAACGCCAATCCTGTCCCCTTTCCAGGAGATGGAGAATCCCTGCCACCGTTCCTAAAAATGGGTAGAATTCCATTTTCACCTCAGTTGGAAACGTTTGAAATAGATAAGATCACGGAAAGATACACAGAGACCGATTTCACACAAGAGCTGCGCCGTGGTCGCGCCTCCCTCTGCCCCGCTTCTATTGGTCGATTTCCCACTCGAAGCCGCGCGGCCGCATTTTGACCCGCGGCTTCGCCCGATTTCCCCCGCAGTTTCGTGATCTTGTTTTTTGAGGATCACGAAACCGCGGGGAAAATCGGGCGAAGCCGCGGGTCAAAACGCGGCCACGCGGCTTCGAGTGGGAAATGGACCAATAGAAGCGGGCCAAAGGGAGGCGCGACCGTGGCGCAGCTCTTGTGTGAAATCGGTCATAGATAAAACGTACACAGAGAGATAGAGAAGAAGAAGAAGAAGAAGAGATTGGATTTATATCCCGCCCTTCACTTGGAGTCTCAGAGCGGCTTACAAACTCCTTTCCCTTCCCCTCCCCACAACAGGCACCCTGTGAGGTGGGTGGGGCTGAGAGAGCTCTGACACAAACGGCTCTTTTTCAAGGACAGCTGTGCCAGAGCTTGTGACTGACCCAAGGTCATCCAGCAGGTGCAAGTGGAGGAGTGGGGAATCAAACCCGGTTCTCCCAGATTAGAGTCCGCACACTTAACCACTACACCAAACTGGCTCTGGAGAGAGATTGAAGGCCCAGTGATGTGACTTCTGGTATTTTACAACACGTAGGAATCTGGCCTCGACGGCTGCCCTGAAAAGGAACATCACGAAGAGGATCTTGCAGATGTCCCTCGACCATCACATCGTGACCCCGTACACGGCCATGTTGATCGAGAGCCCGAACGGAGATGAGCTGATGCTGGCCGACTCTCCCCGAGACCACAAGCGGGCGTGCTGCGCAGGTTGGTTCCTGACTGCTGTTCCCCTCAGGATGCGGCCAAAAAACCAGGAGACCATTGGCACAGTGCGAGGACTAGTTTTCATTCGCTCCGAGACCCTTACACGCTTCACATACACTGTTGTTGTGGAGAGGGATCAAGATGTGAGGCCCTGTCAGACTGCCTGTAGATATTTATTTATATATTTTTTTAATTTATTACATGACATTTATTAATCGCCTAATCCCCACAATTCTGGGACTCGAGGCAGTGTACAAAATTCTGAAACCATAACAAACATAAAAACCATACCCAGCATAGAAGACTTCCGGTTTTGGCGGCGCGAATGGCGGCATTGTACAATAATTAAAAGCAAGTGGCGGGAATTTTTGTCGTTCCCTCCCATATTTGGTCTGTGAGTGCTTCTCACGTATGGGGGGGACGGACCTTTTTTTCTTTTTGTTGTGTTACTTTATTTGGCTTTTTGTTTTTCCTTCTTTTTTACTTCCTGTATAAAACCCTTAATACAACATATAATAAAACATTATACATATATGTTTATATATATATTTATAAAACATGAAAATCAAAGACTGGACTTCAGGTCCCCAATCTTATAATAATGATAATGATAATGATAATGATAATGATAATGATAATGATAATGATAATGATAATGATAATGATAATGATAATGATAATGATAATGATAATGATAATGATAATGATAATGATGATAATGATAATGATGATAATGATAATGATAATGATGATAATGATAATGATAATAATAATCTTTCAGTTTATTAATCGCTCAATCCTGCAGAGCTTGCAGGCT